AATTAGCAACATCATGTCTGCTCATGATTCAATCTGTTAGGAAATAAACGGAAGATACCTTGCAGCGAAATTCTGAAATCTATTGCTTAATCAAGACCATCATTAACCGCTCATAAATATCACGGGGATTCATGAGTTTTGACATCTGCTTTAACTATTTATGTGCTGCAAGACTTAAATACAAGAATTCGGTTTCCCGTACATTCTGATACTGGGAACAGTGGTCAGATGGCATTGATGCGACCTAAATGTTAAAACAGCAGATTCCTGCATATGACCCATACGCATGACAGCAGCAATCCAGAATGTGTCCTGCTTCGAAATGGTCGGCTAATGACCGAATAACACTCTGACGTCGAAAGACCTTACAATGTAGATTTGTCTAGAACAAAGACACTTTGAGTAAAAACTTGGATGGAAGATAAAAAATACAGACTATCTGTAATTCATTCAAAACAGAACAATAGACACCCAGATTTAATCTTGAGGCATCAGCATGACGTCTGAAATGATCAGATGAAAATAATGACGGAGCACAGGTAATTTTCTGGAGAATAGAACTAATAGTCGTAAAATAAAGTGTGATCCATTAATAAAACACTTACACCAAGCGTACAAGCAAAAGACAAAATTCTACCATGGCTCAAGAGTGACCACTCAGTGCGCGAGGTCTACTTTATGCCTTAAATTATTGACCGCATCAAAACGTTCACTTATGTCAAAGGAGTTTTCATGGTATTTTTTTGCTTCCGTAACCGAATACGAGGAAACCCCTCTTTCTTAAAACCCCTGGTGTTATCCGCGTCATAGCTAAAGCTAAGTCATTCTGCAATGATATGGGACACATATAATTCATGAATATTCAGGAATGATAACTGTGGACTGACTGCGAACAGATACTCCTTAAATATGACGCTAAGACGTCGGTAGATCTTGCATATATACATTCTATCGCGATCGTTGCAGATCAATTCATGAGCTACGTTGACGTGGTGGCTGTCTTCGTTTACTTGAAAAGAATTTCTGGAACAGAAGCATTCCAAATTTGTAGCAGACTTTAAACCATACTTTCGTAGGTAGTTTTTGACTAGATCCGAAAACTTGGGGATAAAACTGAGTGGAAATTTTGTCTAATTCTGGGTTTCTGCAATTTGCAGTAGGGATGCAGCAGACAGTATTCAGCATAGCCACAGAGTACGATCTTTCGATACAAAGGATTCTAACAGTAGCCAGTTTAGTCATCAAAGTCTTTCTCTGAGTTGTGTATTGTGGATGCATGGAGACGCATGCTATCCATTATGACCTTGAATGGTGCACGTTGAGCACAGGCCTTCCGGTAAAGATCTGAAGTTTTTATTTTGGGAGTCTCAACCATGTGCACAGAATATATTTAATTCATCTGTGTGATAAATTCATTATTTTCCTGGAATTATCTCCTACTGTTGATAGCTAGATTGCAGAACAAGAAAGTTAACCGTTACTTCGAAAAATTAATCTTAAAATTAATTTTTGAGAATACTTTGAAACTGCTAGCACAAAATATAATAGTAAAATCTATTGAACAATTTACCGAATGGTCGGTAGTGGGTCTTTCTCCGTGAGATACTTTTTTCGGTAGTACCCGACAAGGAGTACAAGAAGACAAATGACTAACAACAACATGACAACTACTACGGGAACCAGTACAGTTGACGAGCTTCCAGTGCTATCGTCACTGACCGAAACTACCGGCAGGTATTCACTGACTAAAAGCAAACGTTTCAGACGTTGGAGTATACGGCAATACACTGATCCTTTACTTGAAGGGCATGTTCGACCTTCGATGCAGCAACCGGCCGCTGGATGACATACTTCGCCGTCAGCACATGAGCAGAACTTTGAACAATCCTCTCCATAACTCCCCTTGGGGCACACTAAACGCAATACATTAGTGTAGCAGCATACGAGACATATCAAGAAAATGACAAAGAGCAAAATAAGAAGGAAACGAATTACAGAGAAAGTAAACTAAAACGGAATACAGCTATGGAAGGAATCGTACCGTTTTCGCACTGCAGACCGATGAAGCCTGGCGGACACAAGCAGGCACCCGTTACTGGGTGGCAACCCTTGGCGAACATACTACATGAGCACTGAAGCGCACAGTCATGACCGTATCGACCTTTAGGACAGTAACTGTCACAGTTCTTTCCGTGGAGTCCAGCTGGACATCTACAATTTCCATTGGTCACGTTGCATTGGGATCCGTATGGACAGTTGCACTGATTCACGCAACCGGCACCCCTAAATCTGCATCATCAGCTACGTGAAAGGACATGAAAATATACACATATTTCATACATAGATCTATACATATACAATCATACTTCCGTGGAACAGCACCTAACATAAATACGAATCAAAACAGTAAAAACAACTGAAAGCAAAAGCGAAAAGTCTAAAAATATCAAAACTATTTAGTCAGTTTAGAAGGACGACGACATATATATAATCGATAATCTTATAGATTATATCGATATATAATCCATATATCCGGAACAGATCACCTCTAATAAGGAGAACTGACTATATGAAACGAATAATTTCAAAGGCTGTAAATGGTATGGAGCAGTTCTGGAAGACTGAAAATGTTCCAATCCGGTAAACTACTTTTGCGCAACAGAACCGGTTCTCCATTAGTATGTGCTCCCAGGGCAAACTCATGACTGCGAATCGTGGATTCTATGTTTGAAAATTGTTCACAACTGCCCACTGCACCATGGAAAAATGAATGTTGCGATTTACAAGAAACAACAGAGAAACGAAACGAAACGAAACGAATGAATGGGTAATACCACAAACAAGCCTGCAACATAATTACTCTAGTGAAGAATTTAAAGTAGCAATGGAAAGAACAAGCAGCAAGAAAAACTGACCATTAGGATGCCAAGAGAGAGTAAACTTGGGCCGCAGAAAGACCTCCAAATCGATAGGAGAACCAGAGAAAAAATTTCGCTGGATCAAGATGGAAGAAATTGGCAGAAAACATAGACCTAAGATAAAGCCATGGAGGCCTTCAAGCAGCAGTGGATCGAAAAATATCTATGCGATATATAGAATATGGTACATGATTTCTTTATGCGGGAGGTTATATAATCTTTAGGTAAGTCACAAACGGGAAGACAACGCATAAAATGATCTTTAATTAGGAACATTTGACGTTTCGGACCGAGCTTGGTACGTCTTCAGAGTATAATGAAGAATTGAAGATCAGAATTACTACCGTTATGCCTGGATACATTTCTAGCCAAACACTGGAACAAAATAAAATCACCTGATTCTAAAACCACTACCTAATTTAAATCGAAGATTGTCGTTCTATCATCAGATTCGTAAAAATTGCTTCCTTTCTTTGAGCAAGGCAATATAGTTGTTCCATGGACTGCAATAAAATATATTCCACACAACATAGAAAGATACCAACGGTGTTTCAGGAGCGTGTACATTTAATATGCATTGTTATCAAGAACAGCGTTTGCCATGAAAATAAGTAAAACAAATCTCATAGGCTGCAAACTGTTGATGCCTATTCCTTCTCAGCTTAGACCTCTAAGAGTCAGATGATTTGCACTAACACTGAATAAACAGAATTTGAATAAACTGAATCTATCTGTACTGAAAATCTTCAACCCAGGTAACATTTTTTAAAAATTCTAAATTTAGGGTTCAGACGCTGTAATGATTCTTAGTCAGCTGTTAAAGGAAATAGCAGCCGCAAAAAACCGCATCAGACAACATGCTAGCACATCTCGAATGCCTTGCTACAACCAAACTAGAACATATTTGTCGTACGTGAACGAATTGTTATCGGTTTTTCGGCTGGTCACACTGAAGCACGAGTTGGATTTCTTATTTAAAAGAATCAACAGGCGAAAACATTTTATGCTGCACTGGGATTCCAATCCTGTATGCATTATGTCTACGAAGCCGCACTAATCATCCAATATATCAGTCAAAACAGAAAAAGTTCATAATTTCTGAATAGCTTAGGGAGTAGACATTCAGAGTCAAAGGTCATGCTCTCGTCCGCACAAGGCCAGCAGTACTGGAATGACCAATTGTCATTAGTAAAATTTTACCTATGAACGTAAGGCTGACAGCCAGTATCAAACATACCAGGTTCCGGAAGGACAGGCATTTTCACATTTAATGCCTGAAAATCCAGCCAAACAAGTGCAGCTTCCGTCCGTGGGGGAGCATTTTCCACCGTTGTGACAAGAAAGACATTGCTGTGAGCATCTCTTTCCAAATGTTCCTTCAGTACAATCTGTGAAACATCATGCGCAGTTGCGACTGACACGAAAACGCAAAAAAAGAAAAAATACCTGAGCTGCAGTCCTTGCCAGTTTTGCCTGGAAAACAGTGACACATGCCGGTAACGTGATCACATAAACTATACGATCTGTTGCACGTGCATTTCTTTGAACAATTCTGGCCAAAATAACCATCCGGACAAGCTAAGAATAAAGGTCAGAGTATAAGGTTAATAAGTATGCAGTAATGAGAAATGCATCAGAAAAGGGAACGAAACTATTAGAAAATAAGCCTTCAGCTTTTTAGAGCAAAATCAACCAGCAGTTTATCGAGCAGCTTTATAATAACATTTAGCAGGTACACATTCCAGCCGTTACGAAGCTTTTTAAAAAATTAAATACTACTCAGTATCGAGCTTCATGACCAACCAAGGCCATCGTCTGGAAATAACTGATGAAATATATGAGCAATTTCTTTGAGAACCGCTGTCATTTTATTCAGGTTATTGTTCTCCAGAGATTTCATATAACCTGATAACTAATAATCCTACAATATGCATCTTTCTCTGAAGGTCCAATTTTCAAAATTATATCTTTCTGCTGTTTTACAGTGAGAGGTTTAACAGTTACTTCGCAAAATTAGCCACGTCATGATCTTGACGAATTTTGGCTACTTTACCACTAATATCAGACGTACTCTGGCAACAGCTCTGACCTGATCCAAACAGCCGTAGTCCGTCTAAGGTTAATTCAAGTAACACGGATTGCCACTGGTCCACTGCTGTTAAAGGTCTGCCGTGAAACCGTTAATTTTACACTTCCTACTTTGCCGTTTACTTGTCGGTTCGAGCTCATGAATCCGAAATTATTCGATTTGCATATTATCAGAACCCGCTGCGTTTTCAGTTTAGATCACTATTGTTACACTAAAACGGATAGGGCAGTTTGGCTCTGCAAATAAATTTGTCCACTATCTTGTCTGTCATAGTTTTACTATCATATGAAAATACAGTACTTCGCTTGTAAGGTTGTCATACTGAAAAAATAGCTTAAAAACGGTTTAATTATACACAAAGCAAAGGATACTGTGGTCAGTCCTGTGAATGACAAATACCGACGTTTCGGCCCGTGTCCCACAGGCCCTCTTCAAGGTAGATTAGTAGTGAAGTTTTCTGAACGTGATTGGTCGTCTGCAGCAGTCGAACTCTCAAAGCCAGAAGGCTTTCCGAATCTATCCACTGCTGCAGACGACCAACCACATTCACGAAACTTCACCACCAACCTACCTTGAAGAAGGCTTATGAGACTTCGGTATTAGTCTGTTACCCGGCTGACAACAGTACCATTTGCGTTGTGTATAATTAAACCGTTTACGCTATTTTTTCAGTTTCACTATCATTTAAGGTAGCGAATTTTGCGTTTCTTTTTTAAGCTAAAAGCTAGATTCTCTGATGACTTTTCCGTTAAAGCAGTAAGCTTATGATGTGGCGGTACAGAACTTAAGGGAACTTAAAAGGTCAGCTCTGAACTCTGAGGTACCGAATTTGAATACACTCAAGGGAAAACTTTGTATTAATCGGTAATTCCCTGGCCAAGGAATTCACCCCATGCTACTTCGACGCAGCAAGCCGAAAAATAAACAGTAAGTCGGTGACATGTGAATGATAGGGACAGCAGAGTATTTTTCTCTGGCAATACCAGAATGGACGAAGTGCTCAGCTATTCGACGCTAGAGTCTCTAATGGCTGCACTTCGACTTGAGCCATCTGATAGATGACCATCAAATGCAGCTGTCAGCACAAGGTATAACCCTGGTTTTGATTTCGAAATTTTTTCAACCGCAACTTTGGACAAGTCGCAGAAGACGACTCTTGCGGTACATTCTTCCACCAAAAAGCAAGAGGAAAGAAACGACTTTTTTGCAATTCCACACCATCTTTTTAAATAGTAGTTTTTCTATGATACCAAACGTTTTCTTCCAAACTACTGTACATTTTCAGAAAGTGAGCTTATGCATAAAAAGGAATATGTGGTTCCGCTGGAAGTTCGATTCCGTTCAACCCACGTTCTACTTGAATCAGGTAGGCGCGGACATTCTTAAACTTTCAGTCGACAAATGTCCCAACAATAGAAAGGAAAGTCTATAATCATGGGATGATCAATCACTAGACTTCGACTTTCAGAATAAGTGTCACTTATGACGACCTTTCGCGACTATAACAATCTTTCATAGGCCCATGGAGAAGCGATGGTCTCCATATTTGGACGTCACCAGCTCTACGGCAGTTCAATGTCCGTTTATCTTACAGACGTAGATAAACAAGTGCGGCTTCATGGCAAAAGAAACGAGATATAATTTCCACATATCTGCCAACCAAGTCTTTAAGAAAACTCTTGGCTGATGGCATAGAAACGGAAATCAGCGCCACGTCATACGCTTCATTTAAAGAAGGGTGTCACAAACGGCACTGATCAGAGAAGCTCAATGGAGACCGAAACCGACAGTATCACTCAGAAGATAACATCTACAGCTAAAGGGCAAGCAGCATATAGTCCATTGTTTCACTGCGACAAAATGCAGCTGATGCTTACTAACACCAGAAGGACCAAAGATTAGTAAACCAGATGGGATTCAAAACCGTAAGATTTCAAGAATGAATGTGGTGCCGTGAGGGAGCTACCCTAAAATTCGAACAGCGCAACGACGCAAGAAGCCAACTGGCACAGAATTCCACCCCTCATCCCGTCTTCTTCATCCTCATCTTCCAGAGCTACCTCTCCTTTCGACTCGCGGAGGAAGACGCGGCACACACTGCTTACAACGTTTCCGACCCTGTGCCAGAGTCTGAGCTGTCTACGGCAAAAGACAACTTCAGTCTCCTTCCAAATATTTGCAGCAGGTAAATCTTGGTCGTCCAAAACGGCTTCTGCCGGTCGGCTGGACAAGAAAAAGTTGCTTAGCCTTCCTTTCTGCAGGCGTTCGCAACACATGCTCAAAACAATCGCAACTGTGACTTCTCAATCTGGAGAAGCAAAGGCTGTATTCCAAGGCTCTTCCGGATGTCACTATT